ATCTAAAGTTAATTGCTAAATAAAGGAAGGAGGGGTAGAGAGGAAAAGAGAAAACAGATTTACAACTAGCCACTAAAAATTTGTAATGTGATAATTCAAAGCATCACTAATAAACTATAGTAATTAAAATAATAAAATCTAAACTTAATTAAACTAAGTAATGTATTATTAAATTCATCAAGCATAATAAAAATGGCAAAAATTAGTCAATGAATGTTCATCTTATAATTGTAAAGAACTTATTAACTTATTAGTTTCTATTTTGCCATATATGTGTATATGTGTATGTGTATGTGATTTATAAGACATCTTTACATATACTTGTGTGCAGTGCTTTTTTGTTAAAAAAAAAAAAAAAGGTACCGGAACTCACACACAACCCGCCTTGCCTACCCTACAAGGTTTACCTTTGTAGTTGAAAAAAAACTCCTTCAATTTTTAGTGTATCTAAAAGACTAGGATTTTGTTCAAGGCAACTCTGGAAAATCCGTTGAAAAAAGGTGCCGGAACTCCGTTCCAGTGCGTTCTATGACAAAACATGTGTGTGTAAGCATACATCAATGTGCATGTATCTATTACTTTTTTATTGTAACCTTCTTTATCTCTTTATCTGATCATCATTGAAAGATGAACAGTCACCGTAACTTTTGAAAAAATATTAAGAGAAAACCTTTAATTTTTCCAAGCATCTTATCTATATGCTACTAAAACTCCATAACCTTTAACTGGTTAAAATGGTACTTCATAGGGCAACAATTTTTGAACCAAGATACCTCAAATGTGTTAACTTATAGAATGCATCTAAAATCTGGATCCATATTCCCATGGAATTGAAATTTGGCAATTTGATAAAACATTTTATGACATAAAATTATCATAAAACAGCTTATAACATAATACAACATGTCATAAAACATTTCATGTGCTGATGTTTGATTGTGCTATACTTTTCCAATGAAGGCAGTACCTTAGAAATGGAAGGCATTGAGGAATCTGGTAAGGAAATATCTCTGAAACAATGACTCAGTGGGTCACAGGTTGTTTAATTGTATTTATTTTTTGCTAAGGCCACTGATGCTTCCAAATGGATAGCTCTTACCACTACCAATCAATAGATAATGTGCAGATTTCATTTTTCCATCAATTGTTTTTTCAGAAAGAACAAGAGATGGAAAAAATTGAAGAGAAAACACAGATGTCACAAAAGGAACCGAGGGAGGACCAATCTTAACATCCTGTGTCTGGGACAGGGCAACTACAAAACAAAAGATATTTTGGAGAAATATAGAGAGCTTGCATTGTTCCCTGTGTAAGAATGAAAATTAGTCTCATCAAACTAGGCAAGATACCCAGAAATTTATGATTGAAAAGCACTTTATTAAATGAAATAAGAAGTTGTGTTTTAGGGGGAAAGGAGAAAAACATCTATACTATTTTCCGATCTAAATAACTCCAGAGAATGTTCCTTGCCATAAAAGACAAAGCATGCAGCATATCCTTCTTTATTGGACCCACATCATATTAAACTTTTCCACTACTCCACAGGACATTAAACCACAATACCATAATGTATTTTTGGAGCTCAGCTTTGGATATGAGCAAGTCTATAATTTGCAACTGCTATCATAGGATATATTTTTGCTTTCCAGGCTTGTTTTCATTTACTGTTGCAGAAATGTTTTGAATCAAGCTGA